GTCTAGTCCATCCTGGTCCCACAAGAAGAGCTCTAAAGCATGAATCATACCACAGACTTGCTCCCACCTCAGAATAATAAAATAAATATCTGGTCTCTGTCCCTAGTTCCTGCAGCAGAGCCCCTAGCACCTTTGGGGTCCCCGAAGTGATAGGATTGTCGTTTGTATACTACTGAGATGACTGTGGCCAGGGGACACTAGGTAGCGTCAGGAGGGACTGGTGGCCAGAAAGACAAGGCTATGATTAGAGGGTGGGAACCTCCAGCCCCACCCCCCAATCTCCAGGATGAGAAGGAGAGGAGCTGGAGATGAAGTTTGGCCACCAAAGTTCAGGTATTTAATCAATCATGCCTGTGTAATGAAGCCCCCATAAGAACCTCTCGGTGGTGGGGTAGAGAGCTTCCAGGCTGGTCCTGGGCGGGGGTGGTGGCCCAGAGAGGGCATGGGAGCACCACACCCCTCAGCTGCCTTCTTCTCCCTCATTCCCTGCCTTGGGTGTCTCTTGTATTTAGCTGTTCCTGAGCTTTACCTTTCAAAACAAATCAGTAAGAGTAGAGCACTCGCCTAAGTTCTATGAGTCATTCTAGCAAATTATTGAACCTGAGGGGAGGGTTTTGTGGAAGCCCCTAAACTTGTAGTAGGATAGGCAGGAGGGCGGGTGGTCTGGGCAATCCATCTGCAGCTGGCTTCTGAAGTAAGGGCTCTCCTGGCGAACTGCGAACCTTAAAAACCTATGAAGTGTGATTTTAATTCTGCGTGGTTAGTGTCAGAATTGCATAGAATTGTTGGCCACCTGGTTGGTGTAAGAGAATTGCAGAACTGGTGTTGGGAAAGACTCATTGTATTTGGTGTCAGGGGAAAGAACATTGTACCACCCGAAAGTGGGGGATGGTCTTTCGTACCGGCCATCAATCAGTCCTGGCTGCGGGCTGCCCTCGGGAGGAAGGCCTAACCCAGGTGAGGTGTCACCCACCAGCCAGGGGCAATTCTGGAGGAAGGCACCTTTAAGCTCTCAGCTGGCAGTGCTCAAGCTCCTGCGGGGAGTGAGCCCCCAGAGAAAGGGTTCTGGGTCCGGCACCAGCGGAATCCAGTGTGGTCAGCATAGCCAAATATTTCTATTCCCTCTGAGAAGGCATTGAAGGAAGTGACTAGATGAACTGGTGGCAAAGACTTGTGGCCAAGACAAGGAACACATGGCAGTAGATCAGAAGAGGACAGCAGGCCATGAAGAGACAAGGACATCGGGGCAGGTGCCAGTGTGGCGGGAGGTCAGTGAGCACTGTCGCATTGGGAAGGTCAGCCCAGGGATACCCGTGTAGACAAATGACAGCAAGAAACCACATGCCCCCCTTACCACCACCGAGGCCTGGATGCCACGTGCCACCACCCCTGGCACTCTACCCAGGGACAAGGGGAAAGAGAGAAAGCCCCAGACGGACTAATTACATTTTCCACCACCAGGCAGAACGGGGCCCCAGGACAGCAACAGGCAAGTGAAAGCAAAAATTACGCTGGCTTGCCCACTTTCTGATTTGCAATCGCCACATGTACTCCTACTAAAACATAAAAGAATGCCATTAACAGGAAAAACACCATCAGCGAGTTCATTAATCACGGTCATTTTCACACTTCTGTGGTCAGCTACAAGCCTGGTGCTTCAAATGGAGGCCTCCCTACTCAATTACAGTGTTGAGCAATTAACAGTTCATCCCCTGCCCGGGGCCTGCCCTAGCTTTCAGCAGAAGATAAAGTGCTCAAATTTCACAAGTGTTCTCTGTAGGAATTCCCCCTCCCTTGGGCAAAGGGCCCCGTTTGGTGCGGTGAGGGAACTGGCCCATTTTTAGTGATGTTACTAACAGCTTGGCCTTGGCTGTTAGCCCCAAGGTGAAGAAGAGCATTGATTCCCAGGTTCCTCTCAGGGCGGCTGGGTGACCCTAGAAAGCTACTTCCTTTACTTAGTTTTCTCATTTGGACAATGATACAATGCCTAGAAAGTGGCCAGGAAAGGGCCTGGCATGTAGTACTTGCTTAATACCAGGTGCTAATATAGTGGATATTAAATCTGCTTAAAACCTTTATTGATGCACCCATGCAGAAAGGCGCACGTGCCATAATTGTGCAAGCTTGATGAATTCCCCCAACCTGGACGCACCCACGTTACCAGCACCCAGGTGACTGGAGGGAGCATTGCAAGGGCCCCGGAAGCCCCTTCCTACAGTGCTTTCTGTCAGGACTCCCCTCCCCAGCAATGCTAACTGCTCTATGCTTGGCTTTGTATTTATGTAAATGGATCCACACTGGGTGCCCTCTTTGGTGCCTGACTTCTCTCACTGTACCTGTGTGATTCATTCACTGCAGACAGTTGTACTTCATTCACAGTCATCGTTTTACAGCATTACACTCTGTAAATATACCTTAACCTACTTATCCATTCTTTGGTTTTATGGGCCTTGAGGTGTTTTTAAGTTCAAGGTAATTGTGAATATTCTTGCCTTAAACCTTTGTTTATTTAAACTTCCTGAGGCCATTGTAGATCCACATGCAGTTGTAAGAAATCATACAGAGAGACCTGGTGTGCCTTTTCCCCAGGTCCCCTAGATGATAACGGCTTGCAAAATTGTTAGGAGCATATCACAACTGAGGTGTTGGCATGGATGCCATCCACCATGGATCTTGTTCCGATTTGCCCTCTTTCACTTGTACCTGTGTGGATGTGCCTGTATGTGTGTGTGTGTGCATGGGTGTGCATGTGTGTTAGAGTCTGTATATTTTTGTCACTAGTGTATGAATTTACACCACCAGTCAAGATGCTAAACAGTTAGTTCCATGACCAACAACCAATGAGGAATACTTGAGCGACCTTGAAAGTGAATGACGTGCTCATTGCAATTTTGGAAGAAACCCTGAGTCAGAACCAGCCAGCTAAGCCACTCTGGATTCCTGACCCTCAGAAACTGCGAGAGATGTTTCATTGTTTTAACCTGCTAAGAACTGAGGTAATTTGTTATATAGAAATAAATAATGAATACAAATACCTGTATCAGGTAGGTATTGCTAAAAATGTAAATCTCTGAGCTTTACCCCAGACCTAGAAGCTGCCTTACATAAACTCCCCCAGGCCAATTCTGATGAGCATTCTTTATGTGAATCATGGCTCTGCCATTAGCTTCAGGCCATTTACCTTCCTTAGTTCCAGGCCTTAAAAATGGGCCTAATCATGCCCATTTATGAGAGTTTTTGTTTCTTTATTTTGTTTTGTGTTCTGTTCTTTGTTTGACCCTTGGTTAAGGGTGGTGTGCACACTGTGCAGCGCTGGGCCCTTGGGGTGCCCTGATTGTGTCCTCTCACTCTTTTGGTGCAGGCCTGGTGGGATGGGGGTACTGCACTGCTCTGCCTGAGACCTTTCTCATGCTGCTAGGGCTCTTCTCGCTTCCTTAGCAGCAAACCTGAAATGCTGGGATTTAGCATCCTCCCCATTCCCCACAACCAAAGGCTGAGAGGAATTGGCATATAATACCCCAGCTCCCTTGCCTTTTGGTAGGATGACTGAGTGGCAAGTTCTATACTACCCCTGGAGGTCTCCAGCAGAACTAAGTTCCCCTCACCCAGGTGGCACCTTGCTGGATAATAGACCATGGATTGGCCTCCTTCCCTTCCCAGTCACACCCCCACTCCTCTGCAGGCATGGCCTTCACTACCCAAATTAACTACTTATACCAATACCCCTGGCTCAGTCTACTCTAGGAGAACCAAACTGAGGAAGCACCTCTCCCAGGAATGGCACAGTATGCACTCAGCTAATGGTTTTGCCTATATATAAAATATTGTATGTCTGGTTAGTTAAGAGAACCAGGGGGAAATTAATAGGTTAATGACAAACTCTGAGAAAGTATTTGCAGCGCAACATTGAAAATCGAAGTTAACTATCCAGGCTCTCAAATATTCAAAGTCAACTACAAATCAACAACCACCACAATTTCAAGAGGAAACAATTAGAACACAGCGATCAGGATCAGGCAATCCACAGGAGGAAAGGCCAAATAGCCAACAAGTGTGTGAAGAGATGCTCCAGAGCAGCAGTGATCAGAGGAATCCAAATTCAGACCAGATGTCCTCTTCCACTCACCAGGAGCAGCAAAAGTTTGAAAGACTGGGAAGTGAGTGGGAGGTATAAGCTGGAACCACCTCTCTGGACAGCTTTTGGGCAGCATTCAGCAAAATTAAGAATCCATTGGTTCAGCACCCCACAACCCCATCCCTGGGCACATACATCCCATGGAAAGTCTCACAAAATACCACATGGTTTATTGTGGTATTTTTATGTTGGGGACCTGGAGGCAGGTTGGAGTCTTTCACTCAGGAAATAAGTAAACTGTGACAATGCATGCTTTAGAATAATATTCAGCACTCAAAAGCAAAACAGACATCTACAGAGCAGCATGCAGAGTGAGAAAAATGGAACCAGGATGAGATTTATAGCAAAATTCCATTATGTAAATTAACAACCAAAGCAAGGCAGTCCTGCATATTTTACAAGGCTGTATACATATGCAAGGACATACACCGAACACATTTAAAAGAGTGGGGGAGGGTGGGGTGGGATGGAGAGTAGCATCAAGAAGTTTAAAAATGACTTAAATTAGAAGAGCAAAATTTTAAACCATAAGATGGTAACATAGGAGAGGATCTTCATGACCATGGAGCAAAAAATAAAATTCTTATGCAAAGCACAAGCCTTAATGAAAAAGACTCTAAATCTGGCAATACTTGAATTTAAGGCCTTTCATGCAATATACACCATATAAGAAATGGAAAGATAAACCATAGACTGAGAGAAGGTATTTGGAATGCTTGAGACTGAAAATGGATTGGTAGAAAGATTATACAAACTCCTCCAAATAGTGGCCATTATTTATTGCATACTGTTGAATACTTACAAAGTGCCAGGCACTGCACTATTCAAGGCACTTCACATGGGTGGATTAAATATAAAGCAATAAAGCTATAAGATAAATATACACTGGCAAAGGCGAGTCATGGCAAAGGCAAATTAAATTGCACAAGCAATTCTGGGGTTACTCTGTGTGACATGATGCTAATATCCTAATACACAGAAATTATATTCCCTCCTTACCTCGCATGTCAAAATTCTGCCCCAACTCTCAGGATGTAACATGGCTTAGAAAAAGCCCTGCTAGCCTTGGGGAGCCAGATCTCAACCCACGATCTTGACCCACTCTGACCTTCGGTCTCCTCTTTGGTAAGATGATGATATCTCCAAGTGTGGTATGAAGTGCTTGGCCCAGTATTTAACACACAGTAAACACCTAATAAATGGTTGTTATTTTGGTGATGCAAAGATAATAATAGCTTACATGTAGGAAGGACTCAGTCCCAAGATTTCTACATGCATATTTTCAATTAATGTCCACAGCAGGTTTCTCGAGTAAATCACTCTTTTTATTCCCATTTTGCAGATGAGGAAGTTGAGTCTTGGGGAAGTCAGAAGGCCATCTGGATAATGCAGCAAGATCTAAAGTCAGGCCCATGTTCTGAACTGTCATCCTTCCATTGTTAACATATAAGCTTACCAAAGCCAACTTTCAATGCCAAAAAATATCATAGAAATCTTCTGCTGATGAAACTGAATGTATTTCCAAATGATACAGGATGGGGAGATGGGTGCAGATGTGATCCAGTGCGTCTGGGGAGGCCCAAGAACATGTTTTTCTACCTTGATCCCAGGTGATCTGAGGCTACTGGTCCTCACACCTCACCAGAGAGTTCTAATTCTAATGGTCACTAAGTCACTTCTTTCGCACCCAAGTGGGCATATCTGTTATGAATGCTAATCCTAATGCTTTGTGTTTGTGTTTAAGCACAATAGGGGGTTCTATAAGCTTTAAAAGATGGCACGTGTCATCATACATACCAGAGGCTGGAGTTCACATCCAACTATGGATTAAATTCTTCTGCACCTCTGTAGTTCACCGTTAATACAAGATTGCTCAAGATGACTCAGGCAGTGACTGTTCTGGGCCTTGGTCAGGTAGCAGCTGATTTACAGAAGAATATGTGGCTTGAAGGTCATGAGGTTGGTTCATCAGCCATGGAGCTCCTGCTCTGAGCCAGAGCCTGGACAATCATGACAGGGAAGGCCAGGATGAATATATTCTGTGCCCAACAGCTTGAAGTACTTCTGGAAATGCCTGTAGGGGACCAGATGGACAAAGCTGGGAAGGTTAGGCTGCCCGGGGGTTTTGCCCCAGAGCCAGAGTCAGAGGTCAGCAGCAGCAGAAGCCTTCTCTGGAGGCAGAGAGGGGAAGTTGATGGGAGGGGAAGAGCCACCAGGAGAAAGCAAGAACAGAAGTAGTAGGGCCAGGGAGGAAAAGGCACTGAAGAGCTAGCTGGTGCTCTCATCTTCTCCCCTTTCCCTCGCCCGCCTGCCAGGCTGGCTCACCTTGGCCAGGCCTTGTAACAGGGCTGTACCAGCCCAACTACATGCCAGCCACACCAGTGACCAAGTCTGTGTCTCTTGGCTCAAATTCCTGAGAAGTAAAAGCTGATGGATCCATTTTGCTCAATGGGGCAGGGTAGTTTCTTTAGAATTGGCCAAGGCAGTTGAGGCGCCAGGAAACCTGCCCATTGTGTCCAGTCCTTTGCCCACCATGGGCTCACATCCCATTTTCCCATACAACACTTATAAAGGATCTTCCATCTACCAAGATCTAAGGGCACAAACACATACATGCTTGCCACTTACCAGTATGGGACACCCAAAGTCGTGGCCAAGTGAGTACAGATTGGGGTGATGTGATTCTGCTACCCACTGTTCTCAGAGTCCACAATTTCCAGTAATATCTATTCCTCTTTGGGCTCTAAAACAGTCAAGCCCAGCGTCACTACCCCACAATTGGGTAACCCAAGGACTATAGCAATAGATTTCACCATCACTAAACTATATCTTACACAAAGGAATGGAAAACAAACAGAGTAAGTTCAAAAACACTTCCCATTTTTGAGAAAGTGAAGCAGATCCTTCTCCAGGACATCACCTTACATCCTTACATTGGCCCTTAGTCCACAGCAAATTTCATCATTCCGTGCAATATCACACAGCAGCAGCGTGGTTCCTCCTCACCTGGCTGCCACTGAAAGGCAGGATTCTTGTGAATAACCAGAAATCTGATAGGCCCTGGGAACTCCCTGAGCACCTCTTGTTGACTGTCCTCCAAGGCACAGGAGTGACATCTTTGGTCAGCACACCTTCTAGATGGGCAGATACCATACCCTTGTCATCTCACAGTGTTCACTAAGACATGATCCCAGCCCACACTGGCTTTGGTTCATTGTAAAAATATCTTTCAGGGTTGAGAAAGTGCAGAATCTCAATACCTGCTGTTGGGGATGGAGAATGGCCAAGGTGTGAGCTGGTTGCTGTTGGGCGGCAGAATGATGCCTGGACTGACTGGAGGCTGGTGTGGGATGGAGAACAGGTGATGGCTTCGAGCTTTGTTTGCCCTCGGAGGGGCCACACGAGGCAGAAGCAATGAGGCTTTGTTCTCCTCTTTACACCCACCTCCTTCAGGACAGGCACTCTTCCACTTCAGAGCCAGCAGATGGTTTCATCTTGCACCCAGCTCGGTAGGTTGATAAAGAATGCTAGGATTCCAGCCCTGACAAGGATATGGAGGCAACATGCTGGCCTGAGGGAGGCCTACCACCTTTGATTAACACATCTAATGTGAGGACAGGAGAAGGAAGGAAGCTCATACCTGCCATCCCCATTCTAGGGTCAACTTAATAGGCCAAAGACCTAGAATTTAGGTTTGTGCCATTATTCAGCATAATTGTAATATTATTCACTGAGTGTTTACCATATCCAAGCAATGGTCTAGGTGCTTTACATTTATGTACCATTTAATCTTATGTCAATCTTGTGAAGAAGACACATTGCTGTTTCCATTTTCCAGGTGGGTCCCACAGACCAGAGTGGATTACTTGAGGTCACTTGCAGTAGGCACAATCCATGCCCGTCAACTATGTGACACCAACTCCCAGGTGCCTTCACTGTGATAACCAGCCCCTGTGTCACTTTATGGGGCCCACACCCTTGGACTCTCTAGAGTCCACTTTGCCCATCTGCAGGAATGCCTCTGGTGCCTGGGAATTTAGTTCTCCTGGGGGAACACTTAATCTGGCACTGTTAAGTGCAGGAGTATAAATGTTCTGCTGCCTTGCCTCCGATAGGGAGCTCTGAGGTGTGACCTATACTGACCCCAGAGCTCTCAGAACTTAGCCAAGTGGGAGCCCTCCTCCAAGGGATGTCGTTTGATGATGCACATTTCACCCCTGCTTGATCCCGCTTCCCTGGTCTCTACTGACTCTTCTGGGAGCATTTCCCAATGAAGCACTTGCACATAAAGCTGCACCTAGGGCTCTGCTTCTGGAGAACCAGACCTGGGATATCGCTTGGCTGTGAAAGTGAGAGCCTCAGTTCAAATTCAGGTTCAACTATCCTTTGGGTAAACTGCCTCAGAAAGAGCACCATCTTGGTGGCTCACTCAGGTAAGCATCTGACTTTGGCTCAGATCATGATCCCAGGGTCCTGGGATTGAGTCCTGCATCAGGCTCCATGCTCAGAGGGGAGTCTGCTTCTCCCTCTCCCTCCACCTTTGCTCCTCCCCCAATCATGCTCTCTTTCAAATAAATAAATAAAATCTATTTTAAAAAAGAGAGAGAGCACCACCTCACCAGATACAATGACAACAGCATAACAGTAAACTTCTAAATAAAAAGATGGAAGACCTAAACTAGAACTCTCACCAGTGCCAGTGCCAGGCTTGGAAAGCCTCCACCTGTGAACCACCTGGAGCTTTAACACTCCCACCCTGGGAGTCTTGCAGACTCTGGTGCATTCTCCTCTGACAACACGCCCAGCATAATTATGGTGGAGAAAGTCATTAGAGTTTTGGAAGCTAAGAAGGCTTTCCTTAGCCTGCTAATTTTTTTTTTCTTTCAAACCTCTCTGCAAAGACTCTAAGTTAATTGATTAGCCTACAGCTCTGTGCATTCCATTGTTCCCTTCCCACAGCCAAATGCAAGTATGCTTCTTTGATGTGTGCGAATTAACATCTCCTGCAGCTCCTCCCACTCACCAAGAGAAGGGAGAGACACTTGGCTATGGTACTTGCAGTTCACACATTCTTACCTTCAAGTGGCAAGGATGCAAAACCTCAAGCTGGGGGTGGAGGCTAGAGTGGGGAGGAGAGCTTATTCCCTGTCTCACCATGTTTGTGAACTCATCCTAGAATAGGGAAAACAAAATACCGTCATTGTTAATATAATCTCACACAGAAAGAAAGGAATGTGTCCTGTGGCTGTCACTGAAACCTCACCTATCCGGTGTCTCCTGGAAATGCTGAGGTCCTTGAATCTCAATGCCCTCAATGAACACCCCCCTGGCCCTCCAACTGTCTCCCAACACATACCTCCCTCCCTCCCCACTGTACTTCCCATCTCACTAGAGAACTTCGTGGAGAGGTTTTGAGGTGGCTCCTGAGTGAGATGATCTAGGGATTACTGGGGTAAGAGGACATTCGAGATAGACTGAAGGAAGAGAATAGTCTAGAACATTCCTTATTTTAGTTGGGGGAAATTCTACTCTGTAGAGCTAAAGCCAGATTCTGGGTTCCTCTTTGCTCATGTCAACACAGATGCAAACACCTTTCAGAGAGGCAATGGCTTTTTTCAAGAGCAACTGCCACAACAGATGTGCCTCAGTGGTGGAAATTTGCAGCAAGAGTAACACAAGTAAACTCCAACCAGACAGACCCCTCACCTTGCCTTGCTGACACACATTGACTATTTCGTTTGCCAATGCAAGGTCCTCTAAAACCGTTTTCCCTGTGGTGTGATGACTAGCAAGGTTCAAGATAAGAACACTTCCATTAAACTTTGATCCCTGAACAACTGTGAGTAGACCCTTTCCATATCCATAATGGCTCACCACAGACATGTGAACATAATCTCTGTTGTTTTAAGATTCTGAGATCGGGATTGTTGTTACCATAGCCTATCCTGATAGATACACACTATTACCTGTAGTTTGGAAAACTAACTTCAATGGCAACTGATGTAATATTTTCTAAAGAATGTAGAGAAATTATAGCTAAATATATAATAATAGGGAGATATCCTTAGGAAAAACAAAGTCTATCAATGAATGGCACAAAAGAACAAAAGGGCAAAAACTGATGTCAGATTATTTTAAGAGATAAAAGGAGGCAACTTGAAGGGATAGAATTTGCCATGTGGATGAGTTTTATCAGGGATCTGGCTGGTTCCAGAGGGGCCTTTATTGTGATTATGAAGCTGGAAGATTTGGGCAACAAAAACAACCACCTAAGTTATATAACCCCAATACCAGAAACCCAGTGGTGGAAAGCACTGTAAAATTGTTACCAACAGGGCTATTTCACCTCCTTTGCTGCTACCAGCAGGGGCCAGTCAGACAATTGTCACTCAGAAAATCAGCACAGTGAGTAAGACATTGCTACACAATATCCTTTTTCCTTTTGTTACTTCCTAATAAAGTGCAAATTTCACCCTGGTTAGCAATGTGTTCAGTTAAAAACTGCCTTTTGGGGGCACCTAGGTGGCTCAGTCAGTTAAGCAGCTGACTTTCAGTTTCAGCTTAGGTCATGATCTCCGGGTTCTGGGATGGAGCCCCACGTCCATCTGGCTACACACTCAATGGGGTGTCTGCTTGAGGATTCTCTTTCTCCCTCAACCTCAGCCCCTTCCTGCATTCATTCTCTCTAAAATAAATAAATGAATCTTAAAAAAAAAAAATACTCCCCTTTTCAGACTCCCTTGCAGCTAGGGATGGTCTGGACCAATTCTAGCCAATGGGGTATAAGCTAAAATGTATGGGATAGAGCTCCCAGGAAAGCTACTGCTCCCTAAAAGGACAGACCCAGGAGCTTACACCTTTCCCATTTTGCCCTTCCTCCTGGCTGCAACAGGAAGTGATGCTTGGGAGTGCTGCTGCCATCCTGGGAGTGTAAGGGTGAATGCCACTGACTCTAGAGGATGGAGCAGAAAGATGAAACAAGCCTGGGTCTCTGACCCAGCTTTGTGGACTGCCACATCAGCCCTGTACTACCTCCTGAGACCTCTTGTTGAGCGAGAAAGCAAATCCCTGCTTGCTTAGGCTCCCGTAGGCAGGTCCCTATTGTACACAGCTGAACCTTCTCCCAACCAGTACACCTGAGAAACTGCAACTCACGGCTAGGAGCTGACCCACAAAAGTGTCCTGTTTGGCCAGCAGAGTGTTTCAAGTAGTAATATTTTAAAAGTAGGGCACTTCATTCAAATTCCCTAGTTCTGGCTTATTTGAGGAGCTAAAGGGTGTGAGAAAATTGGGCCTCCATTCCTATAAAGCTGTGCAGCCCTCCTGGCTCCTAGGGCTCCCTCTATCTAAGGCAAGGGATGCCCCTGAGCTGGTTTGCTCATACAGACCCTCAACCCATCCCTGAGCTGCTCCAGCCACTGTTTTGCTTGCCAGGGCCCTGTAGCTGTGAGTCTGTGAGCCTCGTGGAGGAAAGAACACAGGCTTGTTAGTGGTCACGTTGGTCTGAATCCTTGCTCTGAGTCAGTTACTCCAAGTCTCTGATAGTCAGCATCACCCAAGATAACAAAGAAGCCTTCTATAGTATTTCTGGAAGAAGAAAGCCAATTTACTACATTCAGTACTGATTTCTCTGCCATTTTTAGAAATATTGGTTTATTGCATGGAGTTTCCAATGTTTACCTATAACTGATTAAAATGGGCAGAGCATGGAGCATTCTATTTATTTCTAGATGAATTCTTCACATTTCCTGGCTGGACAAATACAATGGCTTGTTGTGGATAATAAAGAGAGGCAGCTAGTCCCATGGACCCAGGTGGATACACCAGCTTCTTTAACAGCTACCAGAAGGGACGGTGAGTTTAGAAGGGATGTAAAAGCACTTCACACATTGTCTGCTAGTTCAAATAAATCACATAGAGCACCCCGAAAAATCCTAGTTCCTTTCCTCTCCCCTGTACTTTGAGCTATCTCTCCTCTTGTGACCGAATAACTCAGGGATGTGATTGACCAGGCTCAAACACATCCATGTCCCTTCCTGGGGTGACATCCCCAATTTGGCAACTCAGGTCAGCCTCTGACGTCTGACTCTCAAGAGGGTCCCCTTCACAAACAGCAGAGTTGCATTCTGAAAAACTCTCTGCAGCGAACATGAGCCTAAATGACCAACAGGTCCTTTTTCTGGTCCCCCTGCTGCTCTGGAACATGCGTTTGTGTGTCTTGTCCATCATGGTCTAATAGGGCTTAATGGTGTCTGCTGGTCCAGGCTCCAGACAGCTCCTCCCTATCCGCCAGGGATTCTGAGCCAGGTGAGGCATAGCATAGGAGTCAGATTGAGGTGGGGGGGAAGAGAGAAGCAGGAGAAGGGTACAAATAATCAGTGCCTGACAGAGGGACACAGTCAGGGCATCAGGAGCGGTGTTCTGAGGGGCCCTGTCTCTCCCCCAACCCCTGTGACCTCTCCCACGACATCTGTGTCTTCACAGCATCCTGGGGCTTTATGCTGGGGGCTGGGCAGGATGCTAATCCCCTAGATTTATTTTATTTATTTATTTATTTATTTATTTATTTATTTATTTATTTATTTATTTAAATGGAAAGATTTCTTTTTTAAAAAGACTTTATTTATTTATTCATGAGAGAAAGAAAGAGAGGCAGAGAGAAAAGGGGGCTCCCTGCAGGGAGCCCGATGTGGGACTTAATCCCCGAACTGGGATCACGCCCTGAGCTGAAGGCAGACGCCCAACAGCTGAGCCACCCAGGCGTCCCTAATCCCCTAGATTTAAATGCTACCTGTATGTAGCCCACGGCGCCGTCCTTACATATGCAGCCACCTACTAGACATGTCAGAGGAAGCTAGATTATGATGCAGAATGAACAACCCCAACGTCTCAGTGGCTTACTGCAACAAAGGTGCATTCCTTGCTCGTGCTGTCCACCACAGGCCAACTAGGGCTTCTACTCACTTCTGTTGTTCAGGAACCCCTGGCTGCTGGAGGCTCCCCTCTCTTAGGAGCACTGTTCACATAGAGCCTCGGGGTGTGCCACAGCAGGGACTAGGGCATGGAGACCAGGCACTTGGGCGTGTCTAGCTCGTACCCTCTCCACTCTTACCTTAGGCAGCTTTCAGAAAGGGTACGTAAATACATACATACACACATGCACGCACAGAGAAATGTCTACTTCGTAAACTTCACGCACAACAAACCACTTCTGCAAGCAACAGAGGTAATGTTTTCACAACCTTCCCCGCTTGAGGAGTTAGAACAAAGTCTTATGGGCGCTAAAGATCGGACCTCCAGTAAGAAAGGGTTTCCCAGTTGGGTGCTGGTAAATGTTTAACAACCAGCTCTCTCAGAACCCCCCAAACCCTGATTTATATTGTTTGCCAAATTACCGTGGTAATTGGCAACCACACCGTGGCTAATCTGCACCAAGATTCTCACAAACAGCTCACTAATCATTAGCTCCTGCGAGGGTACATGGCACTGTCCTGGCACCGTCTGACCTACTCCCCTGAAGAAGAGTGTACAGGGAGGGGGCATAAACCCAGTCACTGTGACAACACTTTGTGTACATTAGTTAAGACTGGTATTAGCTAGTATGTTGACTCTACTGCTTTAACAAAAAGACCCAAAATAACAGGTACGCCAATGTTCATAGCAGCATTGTTCACAATAGCACAGAAGTGGGAACAGGCCAAGGGTCTGTCAACCAGTGAATGGACAAATAAAATGTGGTATGTGTCTATGATGTATCTACTATTCAGCCTTAAAAAGGAATGAAGTTCTGACACGTGCTACAACATAGTGAGCCCTGAAAACTATGCTAAGTGAAGTAAGCCAGACAGAAAAGGACAAACATTGTATGATTGTATAATGCCGCTTGTATGAAGACCTAGAAGAGTCAAATTCATCGACAGAAAGTAAAACTGTAGTTCTCAGGAGCAGGGGGTTGGGGGGAGTGAGGAGTTCGTGTTTAATGGGTACCGAGTTTCTGTTTGGAATGATGAAAAGTTCTGGAAATGGATAATGGTGATACTTGCACAACAATGAGAACGTACTTAATGCCACTGAACTTTATACAGTTTAAATGCTTAAAATGGTAAATTATATGTTCTATATATTTAGTCACAATAAAAAAGTCTTAAAGACTCAAGATAATAGAGGCTTAA